CTTCTTTTCCTTCTTTTTCATAAACGTCCTTCACCTCCACTCCCTAAAATATCCATATATGGCTGCCACATATTCACAAAGTCCCATTGTGAATATATGTTAGTCTTTCCAGGCCTAGAGAGTCTGCAATTTCCTTCTTCCAGAGTCCCATGGAGGGAGCATCCATACTCTTCCAACATAGCGCAATGGCTCTTCTGGCTTGAAGTAATCCATAGTCCAGTAATTTTCTTTTTTCTGATTGCTTAAATTCCCTTGGGTATATTCCAAGTACACAGAGTTGACCTTTTAAAGGGATTTTTACCTTAAACACTTCAGACAGACATTTGATCATGTCTTTCCAAAATTCCTGGATTTTAGGACATTCCAGACAATGAAGAAGATTTTCTTTTTCAACTAAACATTTAGTACAGATGTCTGGAAAATCATCGGACATATGATGAAGCTTGACAGGTGTTATATAGGTTCTCATGAGCCATTTATATTGCAGCAGTTTAAAGCGTGTGTTTATTGTTTGTTTTTGTGATTTTAAGCAAGCCTGGTGCCAGTCATTTTCATCTATGTCCTCTTGGATCTCCCTTCTCCAAGCATCTTGCATTATACTTCTGATTTAGAAGTTGTGAAATTAGCACACTGATTTGTATTACACTATACTGCTGATTTATTATTGCGAATGAATTACAGTGTTTTATGTTTTATGATACCTTGTATTGCTGATTTATAAAGAAATACTGTTTGCATAGAATCATGGCTTTGCTTTTCTGATTGTAAAGAGAAAAGAACATACTGCCTCATTTCACACAGGAGGAGAAAAAACAGGAAGCCTGAAGAATGTGAATGTTTGTGACTTTTCTGGGAGCCAAGGCTATAAAGAGTTTGTGTCCCGTCCGGACGTTTGTAATGCTCAAAGTGTTGTATGGAATAAAGAAAATTGTATTGATTAAAGTGATAGTTGATTGAGCATTAAACACCGAGTGTTGTTCTTCCTTCAGCCCGAAGATCAAAGAATTGGGGTTTTTTACAGATTATGCACACACACAAACACACATGCAGCTATTACCCATTTCTTCTTTTTATACTTAAGACAACTTTTTCTTGAATGAAGACACTGATCTGTCACATTGTAAAATGTAGCCAATTTTATTTATTGTTCCACCCCATCTCCTTAACCTGTGTTCAGGTTAGGGAGATGATGGAGGAAATGGTGGTTGTAAAGAAAGGGGTAAAGAAGAAGAAAAAATAGGTAAAAGGATGGAAAGGAGGAAAGAGATAGAGGAGAGAAAACCCTAACAATCTCCTCTGGGATAGGAGCAACTCCCTTTAAAGGAAGAAACCTATGGCAGAACCAGGCTAAAGAGGGAGCAGTCAACTGCCGGGACTGGTTGGGGGGTGAGGCTGAAAAAGAGAGAGAGAGAAGGAGAGAGGGGAGCGAGATGGGAGAGGTGTTAGGAGTTAAAGAGAGGGAGATGGGGGAGAGGAGAGGATTAAGATGGAACCGAGGTGGAGGAACACAAAGTAAGTTCAAGTGAGGAAAAAGTAGTGTCCCTCCTCCAGAAACATCAACATGATGTTGAGACCGATTAGTTGAAAAGCCGAACCAGCCAGTTCCGCTTCTTCTTCTTCTTCTTCTTCTTCTTCTTCTTCTTCTTCTTCTTCTTCTTCTTCTTCTTACTTGGCGGAATCTCTGGCAGGCTCTTAACCTCAGTTTCGAGTTCAGCCACCTTCACAGTGAACATTTTCTGTTTGTCTCGTAGACTTTGCAAAGATTCCTGCACAGACAATGCAGGCGACTCCTCTTTTTCTTCTTTTTCTTGTTGCCTGGTGTCTTTTTCTTTCAGAGGCTCCTGCAGAGACATTGCAGTGGATGGCAGCGAGTCCTCTTTTTCCATCTTCATCTGTTCTCCAGTGACTTTTTCTTTCAGAGGCTCAGATGTTTGCAATTCATTTGCATCAGTGGAATTTTGTTCTTTTGGCTCCTGTGTGATTTTAAGGTAGGACGCTTTGGCCTCTTTCAGCTCTTGGTTAAGAGACTCAACCTTCAAATCATGGAGGGCCTTGTTGGAGCAGAGCTGGGATTTCAGGTCACTGATTTCCAGGTTGAGCGTCTCCTGCTCCTGCATGTGTTTAATAAACTTGATTTATTGATCAAACTTGCTTGTGCTGTGAGGTCCTCCCTCCACATACTCATACCTGTGTCAAACTGTCCAGTTACATGTTTATAAATAATATATTGGCCAAATTTCCATATGTTTTTGACCTGGGGGTAGAACTGATTATAAAAAGGTAAGAAGTTCTTATGAACTTATGACATAAACCATTATGCATTTAAGGTTATCCTGTTTGTTTTTTATTTAAGAAGAGAAGTTGTTCCACTGTGCCAACATCGAGGGCCATGTCTGTTTCTCTTCTTGTAGGTCATGTCTCCTGGCTCAGAGAAAATCCTCTTGCATGAAACTGAAGAGGCTGGAGTGCATAGAAACTGCACTGCAAGTTGGTAGAGGTGTGGGCATATGGTCTTTAAAAGCCATTAGTTGTCCTGGAGTGGATCCTCTGTCCAGGGAATTAAAGGATGTATCATGTATCTCTGTACTTCCACTGTGACTGTCCTCACTCACATGGCTATCCAGCAGATCCCACAGACCATCACCAAAAAGAATAAACAAATTAAATGGCTGCACATTTTGTAGAAAACCTTTTTTTTTTTTTGGAGGGGGGGGGGGGTCTAACAAAGAGATGATTTGCTTTTAGTGTGGCTATACTGGAAGTAAAATTTACTGGAAGTTCGACATAGTGTAAATCTCAGTAACAGGATGTGCAGTTCTTAGCTCACATGTAGTTGAGCTTGCATCCATTAAGACTGAACCACAGCAGCAAAACTACAAAAAAAAATAATTTCAGTGTGTTAATTCATTATGTATACTATTTATATACAAAAATTAAAACTTGTTGTCATTAGTGAGGTGTACAAAGTAACAGTTTATCTATGATAGTTTTTTCTACTATCAGATAATGACCCAAAGCAAAGTAACTGGATGCAGAAAGGCTTAGCGGTAAGGAAACAAAGCAAGTAGTGCTGCCCATGCGTTCTAGATTTCAGGCGGTCATTAACTGCAAAGGATTTCCATCAAAGTGTTTAAAAGAATCCTAATATTTACAGTCATATTAGTTTGTTCAATTACTTTTGAGCAGCTCAAAATGTGGGGCTGTGTTTAAAAATGGCTCAACTACTGAAACAGTCAATGCAATACTTTTGCCAAATCCCTCAAAGTAAAGCTGAAAATCTGCACTTCAATCACATGTTGATTATTTGATTTAAAACCCACAACAGTAACTGGTGCAAAATTACAAAAAATGTATCATCCAAAATCTTGTAAATTCAGGTTGCATCAATGTTCTCTCGTTCTCTGAATCTTTAGTATAGGGCCAAAGAGAGCTGCTTGGAGAGTTACTTCACAAGAACCATATAAGGAGTTTGTTTATACTGCCATTGCCTAATGGCAAGAAACTTGAAGTTCTCAATAAGTCACTACATACTGTAACAGAGGCTTTTCAAGATTCAAGATTCAAAGCGTTTATTGTCATGTGTACAAAGAAAAGCATTTCTCTGTACAAGCTAATTCTTTTTCTGCTGTCCACACACAGATGTACAAATAGATAAATACAAATAACATGAATAAATAAATGGGGACAAAAAATATAAGTATTAAATAGATTTATGTGCACAAGAGCTATGAGCTTAATGTGCGTGTTTGATATGTGAGATGATCTGATGTGCAAAAATTATTATCACGGTTAAAATAGGTCAGCTGTTCGAGATCTCTGGATCTTTTTCAGGTCTTAAACGCTCCGCTGTATCCAGGAGGGGGCAGCAGATACAGGCAGAGGATAACAAAATGCCTGAAATCTCAGCGAAACTTAAACTGTACACTTGTTGATATAAACCTTTGTAGTGATGTCATGTTTATTTTTGGCTGGATTTAACTGAAAGCCCCGTTTACACGATATATAGTGTTTGTATAATAAGAAATGAATCATTTTATGGTAACAACTTCAGATGTAGACTTGTGAGAATGATGGCCAATAAACAGAAAAGTCATTAGATCCTATTTACCTTGGCCTGGCATGGGGGCAATTTTAAATAATCCAACTACAGTCCTCATGTTGCATCGACATGTGTTGCAGTATATCATGTAGCACGTAATATAAAAAAGAGATACAAAAATAGTGGATCCTGGGTCTTCTAGTTGCAGTGATTGCAGGGTAAATAATTAGCATCATTTTACCCGTCTATCAACGAAGGAGGCGTGGCCTTTGTTGCCTCATTATTGCCACATTTTAAAAATTATAATAATTTATCAAATGATGAACATCGGGAACAGAGAATGTCTGCTTAAAGGAAGCGCGCGCGCACATACACAGCGCACAAACGTTCACAGCTGTTCTAGTGTGTGTGTTCAGGCAGATGAATCAGTGCTTTGTGGTCGTGTCGCAGGGGAATAGAGGCCACCCTGCTGGCTGCTACTGCCGATGCCGTTCTTAAACATAGCAGTGAAGCCTCCCGCTCAAACACCGCTCAATTCAAAGTTTATGCAAAGAGTGCACATAATCAGCATCTGTTTTTCTTTGCTGGACACAGATACAAAGGATGGTCGGTATCTTCTTATACAGGAAGCCATGACTGAAAATCCTTAAATGCCTCACAGCACACTTTTACCACATGATAATTATTGTTTTTCATCGATACAGTTTCAAAATGTGCATAACATGTGAGTGGGCCGTTCTCCTAACGTCCTTCGTGTCACCTTCACGTCACTGCTGATACGATCAGGTGCCTCCTCAAATAGATCGTTCCTGGAGTTCCAGCACGCCCCTGCCGGCGTGTGGATGTGCAAGTGAGGGTCTGTGTGAGTGTGAGCGAGTGGGTGCGCAGAGGCGTGGTCCGTTGCGTTGCACGTTGCTAAGAGCAAATTTGGCATATAAGCGCAAAATGCGCAGCAGTCCGGTGCAGCCCGCTGCTAACGGTATCCAACAGGTACCTGAACACACTTGTGAGCTCTCTGTCCTGAGTGGATGTTGCAGAGCTGTAGACCGGACTGCTTGCGCTCAATCCGTGTGATGGATGGATTTAAAGGCTCCTTGGATTGGAAAACTGTCATTATCCAGTGAACGACAGACGGCTTAACTCTAGGAATATTACACCTGGGAGAAAGGTTGGCGCAATTTAGAGGTACACTGGCACTACACTTAGCTATTTAAAAAAAACACTTTTTATTTATATTCCCATGGCAGAGAATACCTAGAGAATATGTGTTTATTATTCTTTAGTACTTCTCTTCTTATGTTAAAATATGTTATCTAAATAAACAGTTAATATTTTTTCCTTTGGGTATATTAGCACATGCAGTAGTACTGTAGCTTTTTAGTAATGGGAATCCCATTAATAAGTAAAGGAATGTTATTAACAGGAGCTGTGATATAAGAGCTAAAACAAACATTTTGATTGAGCCCTCAGGCTTTGCTCTCACAGTCTGAGGCAGGCTAACAACCTGCACTGTCTGTCCTGCAGTATTCCTCGCAGCATCAGTGTTTTCCCCATCATGAGGAGGTCTATTGTTTTCCCTGGCTTGCTGAGAGTAGCGATCTTGTTCCTTTGCCTGAACACGACCATCCAGGCCCTGGCCCTCACCAACTCCACCCGGCTCGAGTCCATCCTGAACAAGTATACAAACAAAGATGAGGAGTGGTGGAGGGCCAAGCCTAGAGGGAGGAGGGCCATCAGCGAGGGAGACATGCACCTCATCCTGGACCTGCACAACAAACTGCGGGGTCAGGTCTACCCTCCTGCTTCCAACATGGAGTACATGGTGAGCACCGAGCACACAGCTATCTGTAGGCCAAGTGCACTGTGGAATATTTAACAGTTCTTTCTACTGCTTAAAAGGATAAATTAGTTAGAGTTAGAACTCTGTCATGAATATGGGGTCGTGATTAAATTTAGTACTGATAACAAGCATGCTGTCCCTCCTTACAGTAATTACTAATGAAAGAAATGTGGTTACGTTTTGGATTTGTAAATGTGTCAATATGCTGTGTGATGTATGACAGGACATTAAGGTAGACTGCAATTAAACTTTTCATTGTTGCTTTTCTGAAGCTAAAAACTCCATAGCTCTATAGCTTACGTTTATAGCTTGATAGTCTATGTAGATTTATTTCTTGCCTTCTTGATAAGTGCAGTGGTTCAGTTCAATTTTATTTAAATCCCAACAACAGTTGCTTCAAGGCTCTTTTTATTGTAAGGTAGACCCTGCAATAATGCATACAGAAAAAACCCTAACAATGAGCCCCTATGAGCAAGCACTTTGGCGACAGTGGGAAGGAAAAACTCCTGTTTAACAGGAAGAAACCTCCAGCAGATCCAGGCTCAGGAGGCACAGCCATCTGCTGCGACCGGTTGAGAGAAGACAGGACGAAGACCCTCTGTGGAAGAGAGGCAGAGATTAATAACACCTAATGGTTAAATGCAGAGGGCTGTAGTGGTGATTATCTCTATCTGTTAAGTATTAAGGCTTTGTTGACCTTTCAGATAACTTCCTACTTGTCTGAAAGGTCAGCTTTCAGCTAGTTTTAATCACTTAACTGTACAACATAACTGTTCAACCTGATATGATGGCATGTAATAGACGCACCAGTCCACCATGTAGATTTCATGCTTTGGCTCTCCAAAACATGAAATGAATGCAGAAGTTGCAGTAACAGCAGGGGGAGATATTTTATTTCAAGCCAACACGAAAATAATCATCATTTACATTTATATGTATATAATATATGTTAGCCTCCCAGCTTTATAGTAAGGACTCATACATTTGTTACTCAGTACCGACTTTGTGGCTTTAAACATTTTATCTCTCCCTGCTGGTAATGCAATTTCTGCATGCATGTATATTTCACGTTTTGAAGAAGCAAAGTGTGAAATGGACACAGTGGATTGGCATGTCTATTATACGTTTTGCCGTGATACCGAGTCGAAGTGTTTTTGGTCTTCATAGTCTATAAGTTGTCTTTGTCTTTCCCATAAGTCTCTGACAAATGATATGGATTGCTGTGTGATTACTTTTACTAACATCCACTTCTAGAATTCTGTGCATCAGTTTTGTTGAGTGATATTCTTGTACAGATTTGCAGGTATGTGGGTATGTGTGATGCACCTGTACAGTTAGTCTGTGGATGGACATCACTAAGCAAGATAGCTTGAGTTACATATAGTCTGTATTTACAAGTAGCACACCATATAAATGATGCATCTTTATAGAATAGATTAGAAGCAAGGTCTCCTTCCAGCTATTCTTTCTAGTTACACTAAAGTGTTTTTCATAAAAAGGCACTTTCCTGACTCTGCCAGCTAAAGACATCAGATTAGGGAATGAAAGAGAGAAAACGAGCTCTGCAGGCCAAAGCCACCGTCTGGCTTGCTCCACCTCCTGTCTCCTGTTTGCCCGCCCTTGCTGACCCTGGCCCAGGTCCAGCTCTCACCCCCGCAGTGTTTTCCTGCCCTCTACCTCAACTATCCTGCCCTCCCTCCCTCCTCTTCCTACTGAGCCTCTCCTTGCTCTATCCCTCCATTTCTCCTCTTGCTGAGTCTTTTTCTCAGTCCTACTCACTTGATCGTCAGCCTCACAAGTTCTCTCTCAGGCTTTTCTTTAGCATCCTCCACTTTGTCTCACAAACTCATCACCTCCTCTTTCTTTCATCGCACCTCACGCAATCCCAAGCCAGTATTAGTTTTTATTTGAGCCTTCGCATATCTCATAGTGCACGGTGGTGCCAGTGTACACTATTTTGCCAAAAGTATTTACTCATCCGTCTTCACACGCTTTCGAAGGGTTAAGGTTAGGGTTTAATATCATGTCAGCCCACCCTTTGCAGCTATAAATGCTTCAAATCTTCTTGGAAGGCTTCATCTCAAAGGTGTTGAGGTCAAAATTCTGTGCAGGCCAGTCAGGTTCTTCCACACCAAGCCCACTCCTCCATGTCTTTATGGACCTTGTTTTGTGCACTGGTGTGCAGTCATGTTTAGGGATGGGTACCGGTGTCCGGTGCCATGATGGCACCGGTTCTGACATAAACGGTAGTAACCAGACCGAAAAGCAGCGCACATTTCGGTGCTTTAGTTCGGTGCTTTTTTTTCCTGAGCTGTGATACACTTCTAGCCAATCATTTGACGTTTCCGAGGATAGTAGGCGGGGCCAGGTACGTACGTTCTGTTAGAGCAGAGCTACAGATTAAAAATGTCCAAGGCGAAGCGGTCAAAAGTCTGGCTGTACTTCACAGCAAAATATGCAAACTCAGCAGCCTGCAACAAGTGCTTTAAGCTGATACTGTGATACTGTCAAAGGAGGTAACTCCTCAAATCCGATGAAACACCTGGCGACGCATAGCGTTTTTTTTAAAAGCCCAGAAATGCGCCGTATTTGATAGCTTGCTGCGAGACCTCACACCGAGCACATCTACTGCGGGTGGGTTGCCTGTTATGCAACATCCCCCAAAAACACGAAGAGGAGAGTCCTGGCCCCTAGCCCTGCCAGTGTAGCAGAAATGATGACGGATGATGGTGGCAGCAGCCGTTCTTCTCTGCGTGAGTAGCTAATTTACGTTGAGTAGGCTAACCACGTTATTACATTAATGCATGTAAGGTGAACTAGCAAACATCATCATAGCTACATGCAGCTGTCTTCTTGTTTGGCAGATACTCCCTTCACCCTGGACAAAAAGGCTAAAATGACCAAAGAAAAAGTGGAAAACAGTTAAACATGAGAGGTTTAGGACAAAGTTTGTGTTTTTTCCATTGTTTAAGCACTGCTTCCAGCCAAGAGTGATGCCATATATGCCCTATAGCTGCAGAAAGGCTAACATTGTTATCTTTTTACAAAAAACAGCTGAACATGAGAGGTTTTTGGACCAATTTTGTGTTCTCCATTCTTTAAGCACCGGTTTGAGCACTGTTTGAGCACCGGCACCGTTTCAAAAGTACCGATTTGGCACCGGTATCGGATAAAACCTAAACGATACCCATCCCTAGTCATGTTGGAACAGGACAGGGTCATCCCCAAGCTGTTCCCATGAAGCTAGGAGCAAAATGTCTTGGTACGCTGAAGCATTAAGAGTTTCTTTAAGGAGGTGAGCCCACCTTCTGAAAAACAACCCCACACCATCATCCCTGTCCACCAAACTCTCCACTTGACTCAGCTCGCTTAGCCAAGTATTGTCTCCTAGCAACCACCAAACTGAGACTCATCCATCAAATTGCCAAATGGAAGAGCATGTTTTGCCACTCCAGAGAACAAGCTTCCACTGCTCTACAGTCCAGTAGCGACATGCTTTACATCACTGCATCAAACACTTTGTATTGTGCTTGGTCATGTCAGGCTTGGACGCTGCTACTTGGTCATGGTGACCCATTCCATGAAGCTCTCCGTGCACTGTTGGTGAGTTAATCTGAAGGCCACGTTAAGTTTGGAGGTCTGTGGCGATTGACTGCAGAACGTTGGTGACCCCTGCGCACTGTGCCTCAACATCCACTGGACCTGCTCTGTGTCTTTTAGTTGGCCTACCACTTAGAGAGTGACTGGAATATCTGAATTCAGTGAATGTGATGAGTGAAAGGAAACTTTCAGATGAAAAAAGTCGTGGAACCCTTACACCTCACTGAAACAATGCTCTATTTTTCTAAAATCCTTGCAGTATAAAGCTTGTCTATCAGAGCTGCGTGCCTGTGCTGTTCCACACACGTGTATGGAACAAAGAAGTTTCATCTACAAAACTCAACAATATTGGTCCTCCTTACAAGAAGTGATAAACAGGAGAAAAGCTCCTTAATGGGGACAGAAGGATAGTTCAAATAGTGCAAAGAGTATGAAAGGAAACATTAAAGCATGTACAAGTTTGAGATCAAGATACAACAGTATCTGAGCACACCATGTTGCTCTCTCTTAAATCACGAGTCAAATTAAACTAAAGCATGCACCTGAAAGTGCCAAAAATGAAGCCGCTAAAGTGTGTCCATCAACCCTGAGAGAACTTTGTGCATTTAGTTGTAGAAGACTGGGCAAAACTACCAGTTAACAATTCTAGACACCCTTTTAAACTGAAAACTGTAGTCTATCTTTAAGGTAAGGTACTGATCATTTTGGCCTGATCTCTCTAGTCTGATAAAAGAATGCTTCAGTTAAATTCTGTTTTATTTATACAGCACCAAATCACAACAACAAGGCACTTTATAAGTTAAAGACCTACAGTAATGTACAATGTATAATGTACAATACATACAGAGAAAAACCCAGCAGAAAAACCCAGCAGTCATATGACCCCTTATGAGCAAGCACTTTGGGGACAGTGAGAAGGAAAAACTCCTTTTTAACAGGAAGAAACCTCCAGGCTCAGGGAGGGGCGGGGCCATCTGCTGCCACTATATCAACTTAGTGACACTCCCCTTTGTATTATAAGCATATTGCACTGATGATGCCTCAAATTTGACGTTTTGGTTTATTTGGAGCCAGAAGTCAGCATATTTAGACATGAGGCTTGAGTTCTATGTTATCACCTATTTTCACTAGCTATATCTGAAGCACCAGAAAAGCATGTCTCAGTGCTCCAAAAAGTACAAACAGCTCTTGATTCAGTTTCTGGAAAACTTCAAGGATAACAGTTGATAACAAGGTGATTCCCAGAGAGCTATTAGCAAAAAAACTTGCCAGATATCAGCATGGTGTGCATTGTGTCCTTTGAAGAAGCGGTTTGAGCTGCACTTCTGTGCTCATAATTCCATCAATTTTAGCAACAACACCAAACTACTGTCAGATTTTGATCTACCATGTAATACCATCTGGAAATAATTTGATTAGCAACAGTTTAAAATACACACAGTGTCCCTCTGTGTGTTCTATCAGTCATGGATTGGCCTCACAAAAATCCAGACATCAGCGTTAATGAAGCATTGTGGGATCATTTTGACGGAACAAAAGGTAGACAACCTTCAAAGAAGAGCTTTATAATCTCCTTCAAGCCTAGTAAACTATTCCAAAAGACTATTTTGCACATTTCAATAAATCACTGGGTTTATCCCCGGGGCCTACTCGGGACATGGAGAGATTATATTTGTCAGCTGGCTTGCAAACGATTAGGTTTCCCACCCCTCCACCCCCATTATATCTGGTGGCCAGGTTAGGGAAGTGTGGGCTTCTCTGCTGGTTGGCTGGGTGGATAGATGGTGCTGCATCTATCTCTCATTTTCTAGTTAAAAAAACAAAACGAGGTGGCTAACGACTTTTGTGCATTATTCCATATCATGTCTTATCACACATTACTGCAACATGCTCTCAACATGGAGTTTTAATATTGTATGAATACAATATGAATACTTAATTTGAACTGAAAATACATGAGAATTCTAACATTTACAGCATCATGTTAAGAAAACTTTGAAAACGATGCCACACGGGTAATATTAAAGAATTCTCTATGTTGTATATCTATCAGCCAAAGCTGGACTGTGGCCAAAAATCTCCAGTCCAAATATCACTTTTCCACTCAGGCATGAACAACAACTAGCACTACAGTGTGCAACAGTGTGTTAGCCTTAGCCTAAACATATGGAACGTATTATGGTGGTCAAAGCAGTTACAACTCAACACTTAAACATTATCCTATTAGTTTTGACGCGCGATAGCTCTAATGCAACTAAACAGTATGCCAGCAGACTGCACACTGCACCTATTCTTCTCCCTCCCCAACAGAGTCAACAGTAAATTAACTTTGCCGCGACATTAAAATTGCGCAGCCCCCAGTCTGCCCTCTTTAAAATAAGAGGTATGGGAGTAAGTTTCAGGTATTTTCAGCTGATTTTCTTAAGCTTCTCTGGAAAAGATGGCATCAGTCCTTAAAACAAAAAGTCTCTGTGCTCCTGTGTTTGTTAGTTACTTTCTTTTTGGGGGGGGGGGGGGGTCTTTGCTTTTTCTAACTCTCAGATTGTTTTATGAGGCCAGAACTTACTGGAAACAAGCTGAAACAACTGCACTGAATAGTAGCACAAAGCTGTCAGTTGATGTGGTGGTCTCTCATGTGTGTGTCTGTGTGTGTTAGAGAGTGTATAGGCCTCGTTTTGACCATATGGTGTCAAATTTGCAAGAGGCATGCATACAGCCACAGTGCTTTCAAGTAAAGACCAGGTCAATGTTTGAGGTGAAATGAAATAACACTTCACATGAAGTTTGTGTGGTTACTTTTAGATCTTTTTTTTATGGCAGCCTCAAATCTCAAAAAATGGGCCCTTTTGGAAAGTGTAAATCATTAAATGTCATAAAGCCGTATTTTATTCACAATTGAGCATAGAAAACATATCAAATGGTTGAACCGAAGAAAGAAGTATTTGATCATTTTTAATTTGATGACAGCAACATATCTCCAAAAAGTGGGACAGGTCAAGAAAAGGCTGGAAAAATTACGTGGTACTTAAGAAAACTGCTGGAGAACATTGTGTAACTAATTATGTCATGAAACTGCTGTGTGGCAAGCAGTGTGTCCACCCAAATGCAAGACTTGGAAGGCAGGAATGAATTAAAAAAGCAGCTTTACTGCTCTTACGTGCAAGGCTACATAGTATTCCTGACTGCAGAGCAGGACCAGGGACACAGATAACTAGAAAACATGAATCAGGGAAACATACAGCCAGAATGCAAGAGTAGAATCAGGACAATAAAAATCGAGAGGAAACGGGTGGGAAACACAGCAGAAACAAATCAGGACTAACAAGAGAGGGGAAG